TGTTTCATGTAGATTTCCTCTTCTAGTTCACCATTTAAGAAAGCTGTTTTTACATCCATTTGGTGAATCACAAGATTGTGTATAGCCGCTAGGGCAATCAACAACCTAATGGTTGAAATTCTTGCAACAGGGGCATAGGTATCAAAGTAGTCAATTCCCTCTTTTTGTCTAAAGCCTTGTATCACTAACCTTGCTTTAAACTTATCGATCGAACCGTCTACTTTCATCTTCTTTTTGAAGATCCACTTACATCCTCATGGTTTGCATCCAAGAGGTATGTGTAACGCCCCAAAACATACCCTAGAATTATTAATGAATAAATAATCAATTAATCAAATTTGTTTTGATTAAAATAAATTATTGTTGGGCTTTGGGCCGATACGAAATTTGTTTTGACATCTAATATCAAAATCTGGATAAGTCTCATAGAGATAAATCCAATATGTGGACTATTTTGTGGTCTTGATTGGGAACCTGAGTACAGACCCAAATCAAGAGTAAATAAAGAATTTGTTTAGAATGTATATATTGAAATGATTTGTTGAAATAAATCATGAGAATAATTGATATGAATTAAATGAGAGAACCTTTTATNTGTAACGCCCCAAAACATACCCTAGAATTATTAATGAATAAATAATCAATTAATCAAATTTGTTTTGATTAAAATAAATTATTGTTGGGCTTTGGGCCGATACGAAATTTGTTTTGACATCTAATATCAAAATCTGGATAAGTCTCATAGAGATAAATCCAATATGTGGACTATTTTGTGGTCTTGATTGGGAACCTGAGTACAGACCCAAATCAAGAGTAAATAAAGAATTTGTTTAGAATGTATATATTGAAATGATTTGTTGAAATAAATCATGAGAATAATTGATATGAATTAAATGAGAGAACCTTTTATAAGAAAGGTCAATTAAACCAATTTTGACTCTGTCAAAGTCAAACACCCAAAAATATGATGTCGGAAAAAGTATTACAAATAAATATAAAAATTAAATAGTTGGATAGAGTTTAACAGTCCGATCGCAATGGTATAAACGGAATTTAATTTGGAGAAAGTTGGACCAAAAACTATACCCCGACTGGAACCAAAATTGGTCCCAATCAGGGAGACTGTGCAGACGGCGCCTCCTCCTCCACTCAGCCGATCGTGAGTCGATTCCTACACAACATCCTGTGTCTTGTTCTTCATCATCTTCACTATATAAAGAGCTAAAAATTCTCATCCTTCACCAAAAGTTGTGAAACTACTATCAATGTGTTCTGAAGAGTGTGGGGAGTACTCTGAAATAGTTGGTGGTCGCCGGAGTTGAGAGAAATCATCGCCGGAAGTTTCGCCGGAAAATTTCCAAAACCTTCATTTACCTTCGAGGTAAGCCCGTAGATATATCTAGTGACTAGAATGTTCGTATAGATCGTTTCTACGTTCATAAACGGTCGTTTGGTTGAGTTTTGTGTTTGACATGCTTGAAGAACCAAGAATCATAAACCATGAAATTGGTGTTAAAACTATGAATTAATGATGCCAAAATGATCTATGAACCTTGGAGAACATCTCTATATAGTTTCGTTGAAGTTCGATAACTAAAAACGGTATCTCCGAAATTGGACCCGAACGAAGAAGAAGATGAACAGTGGCTAAAACACCACTGTCTGGATCGATCCAGGGGCTTGGATCGATCCCCTGGGAGTGATTTTTCATAGTATGGATCGATCCAGAGAGCTGGATCAATCCCCCGAAGTTTTGATCCGAAAATTTACCTTAAATTGCTATTTTTGAGGTCTAAAATCCTATTTTTGATACCAATTGATTATGATTATTTTAAGGATGATTCTTTACAATAAAAATGATGTTTTTAACAAATAAAAATGTTATGTGATGCATGACGGTATGTTCGGGTGTTAACATTCGAAACTAGACTGCTATTTGTTATCAATTGTTATGTTGATTGATGATTATGATGAATAATTATTAAGTATGATTATGAATGATGAACTTACTGATTAAAATGATTATTGATGATTTAACCATTATTAAAATGAATATATTGATAATTATGAAACGATTTGTATTGTTAACGGTATCTAGAATAACTCTTAGATATACCCATTAGTTAATTGATGTTAAGGCTATCTAGAAGACCTCTACAATAGATCTTGTATTAGAATAGACTTATGAGAACATGAATATTTGATGAATTAGATAAAAATGTATAAACGGGATTCGTAGACCAAACTAGAGGATTACTCGTTTGGGAATGTCTGATCCAATGTTGATCAATCGCTATATTGTTGTTGCCTTAACTGACTACGGTTAAGTGTCCGAATCGTTTGCCTTAAACTAGTGATAGTTNTTTGATTATGAATTTAGATTCAATTTATATGGATGTTCGACGCATTAGATATGCTTACTCAGCTTTACCGCTGAGCGTGTAGTATGTTTTATTTGCTACACGCAGGTAAACAGAAAGCATAATGTGATCCTTGCAGCAGATGAGGCGAGATTGTCGGGATGGATGTGACAAGTTTGAAATGATTTATGATATGTCAAAATTAAATTTGCTTCCGCAATATTGTTGAATACTCCGTATTGTGTATGTTATGAAAAATATTATTGGGATTAATAAAGTGTGTTTGAAAAGTTTTAAATTTTTATGATTACCAAGTTAAATACTTTAGTCCGAAAGGGGCTGCAGACCTGGACGGATTGGGATGTTACAATTTGGTATTGGAGCAAATGGTTTTAAAACCGATCTTCGGATCAAAAATTTGAATTAAAAAAAATATGTTGGTCACATCCACGACTCTCGCATCCCTCTGCTCCAGGAAAGGTATGAAGAATTACTTAGTAAATTTTGACTTTGTTAGAATTCTCATTAGAGAACAATTGTTAGTACTGAAATTATATCAAGTATAGACTCAAGTAAATTTCGTACTCGGTGAATAGATGAAAGAATATTTTAAAAAAATTATTATGACTCCCTAATGCGTTATCAACATACTTATCGCATCGCAAATGACAAAACTGATCTGCCTCGCAAAGACGCATGGAAGTGAGAAGACTATGAAGAAAAGATTAATGTTGAATAACATCTGTGCAACTGTTGTCAAAGATCCTCATGTGGACTGAAGACTAACGGATCGCTGATCCAAACACGAACGTTTAGAATCAATAAACTCTGTTGTCTAAAAGTATCCCATTTTAATGTCCAACTCATTACGAAACAATATGGGATTGTATCTTGTGAAACGAAATCGTTCGTTAAGCAACAATTCGTTGCAAAACCTCGTTGAAAATACCATACAAGGAAATTGACGTTATCCTTAGTATGAATTGGATGACTAAACAGCGTTCTATTGACAACTTTTGACGAAGAATTCTTCAACTAAAGACCGATGATGGTAATCTTATAGTGGTGAAAGCAAAGTTGAGTATCAAACCGATCGAGTTCATCTCGAATGAGTACACAAATAAGGATAGATCGATGAGACTCTGTATCAACTACCAAAAATCGTTATCGTTTACCTCGTATCAATGACTTATTTGATCAGCTTAGAGAATCCATTGTGTTCTCTAAGATTGACTTACAGTCAAAGATACTATCACATCTCCGTTAAGACAAACAAACTAACGATCATGAATCGCTACCCTTTACTATGAATTGACGATTTGTTCGGTCAAATTCAAAGGAACCTATTTTCTAGAAGCTATGGATAGAAAGTAACCAAGTGCCAAACGATGGGCACGAAAATGTTCACACCGAAGCATCCAGTTTCACACCTCCTATTCAACCTGAACAAGTGAACTCACAACATGTTCCCCAAAACGATCAAAATATTGGAGGTCAACCTGACGCTATGCTACCTACCTTAATGGTAAACTTCTTGCAACAAATGACCAATGCCCATGTGTTTCAACCACCTCCACCACCGCCTCGTTTGATCACTTTCAAAACCTTAAAAGATAATGGTGCTGAGGAGTTTTTGGGAGATCGAATTGCCGAACCCCAAACTGCTATTGAATGGATCGAGCAGACCGCTCGTGTACTACAAAATTTGAACATACCTATTGTTGATCATCCAAAATTTGCATCTCAATTGCTCCGTAAGGAAGCCTATGAATGGTGGAAACGCACTGACGAAAATCCAAACACACCCAAACCTTGGACTTGGGAATTCCTCGATTGGGCGTTCAAGAAGGAATATATTCCAGCCCGATTCCGTGAAGAGAAGCGTGCCGAATTTATTCAATTGAAGCAAGGAGATATGACACTCCCTGAATACCGACAAAAATTTGTCCACCTCGCTCAATTTACACCCACACTGGTGAGCACAGCGGCTGAACGCATTGAGGAGTTTCGCAAAAGACTTCGACCTGATCTCAGGCCGCACGTATCTACTATTCAAACTATGGATTTCATTGAGGCATACAACCTAATCTCTAAAGCCGACAAAGATCTAAGTGATTACTATGAAAGTCTGAAGACTGAGGTTGTCAATTTAAATGAACGACCAAATACAAGTGGGGAGAGACCCCTGCAAGAAATTGATAGTGCCCTACACTCGAAAAAGGGAAAATCAATGACAATTCAATTGACGTCATCCATGAACAAAATGAGAGTATGAAAATATCCAAAGTGTAACGTTTGTAAAAGACACCATCCAGGAGATTGCTGGCGTGCGCAAGGATTATGTCTAAGTTGTGGTAAACCTCGACATTTCCAACGAGAATGTCCTTCTAACCCTAAATCATATTCAGTTACTTCTGTCCAAAATCAACCTGTTTGCTCAGGAACAAGTCAACGTTCTAAAACACGAAACATTTCAAAGAATCCAACCCAAAGATGATACTCTATGAAGATCCTAAGGTGCTACAAGGACTCGAGGATATATTGAATAATGTAGAAACCTTATGTAAACAAGAAATTATCTTTCGATTTGTATCCCAAGAATATTCGTAACTGTTTGAATTTTTGTGTGTTGAACACTTTGTATAATAAAATCTTTCATTCAACCCATCTTGAAGAAAATGTTTGATATTTACATGATGCATTTTGACGTTAAAAATAAATATTTTTCTGACTTGCACTGGCCATGCTGCTTAGAATAACATTTATGGTTAACTCATAATGTTCATAAACAATATTATTTCCAACATAAATTCAACTGAAATTAAATAAAGTAATATTACAAATGCAACTCTAAGTCCAATGCCTCAGGATTTACAAACTCGTCATAACTAGCCCCAGGACCCGGAAAAGCTTTAGCAAACGCTAGCTTGTCTAAAAGCTCATCAATAAAGAAAGAAGAGATGAAAAGTTTTCTCTGACTGGAAGCCATGAAGTTCTGCCTCACCGCGTCATCTACAAATTTGATTAGGTTATTAAAATAACCGTCAATGTTCAAGAGACCAATGAGTTTATTGTGCAACCCTTCAGATGCCCACGAAATTAAGGTGAACAAACCTTCCATAGTATCAATTCCTCCGGGAAGTATGATGAAAGCCTCCACCACATGATTCTTCTCGAAATACTTGTAGTAATTGCTGGAAACGGTGTACTCTGCACCGTATGTAGGACCATAGACCTGTCGTGCTGCTATGTACCCTAGTATGAAGCCTCTAACTATACCACCATTGGTATAGACTGTTGAAGCAACAGCTCCTTGAAGGCCAATGTTGCCTCCTCCATAGGTAAGTCTAATTTTTCGCATTACCAATTCCCTTCATAAATCCACCACCGTAGCCATGAACTTTGGATTTCTACCAAGAGCATGACTACCAAGTAGACCAACGAATTTTATGGTGTAAGGAAAAGTTCGAGAAGTTCCTTCCATAATATGAGAATGTGAGGTACTCTTGCCACAATCGTGATATATATAGGATCTGAAAACCTGACCTTTGAAAAGGGGTAGTTATCCTGAGTCGAAATTTGTACAACAAAGATGGCTTCGAATTTCCTACTGACAATAACATACTCGCTAATACTACAGTCTGCTTACGATATAACATATTGAGACTCACGAGCAGTTAGATTCGTTGTCCTGAAGTACGTTCAAATTCGAGACGAAAAGTCAAATTGGTTATTGACCTAAGACAACAATCCCTTGAGTAATTGAAAGACTACGTTATGACGTATGAATTGAAACAACCTTCAATTGTGCTTATCATAGACCATTCAAGAGTATTGAAGAAATTTTCAATCGATTCTGTTAACCAAAGACGTACAGATAAGACTCGTAACTGAACGAAGTTATGTATGTCAGGTATGCAATACTACACACTATGAAGGAACTTTTGTCATCAAAGGATCTATGAAGACCTTACTTAATCAAAAATTGTTAATCTCTCGAAGATTGAACGAGTGTGGCGAAATCAATGACTTGAGAATACGTATCCGAAAGATAGCGACATAACCATATGAATATGAAACGGTCATGATCAGTGAGATCATTACAAAACGTTGAACATTGAACCTAAGAAGAATTTCGAGGACGAAATTTCTTTTAGGGGGGGGGGGAATGTAACGCCCCAAAACATACCCTAGAATTATTAATGAATAAATAATCAATTAATCAAATTTGTTTTGATTAAAATAAATTATTGTTGGGCTTTGGGCCGATACGAAATTTGTTTTGACATCTAATATCAAAATCTGGATAAGTCTCATAGAGATAAATCCAATATGTGGACTATTTTGTGGTCTTGATTGGGAACCTGAGTACAGACCCAAATCAAGAGTAAATAAAGAATTTGTTTAGAATGTAAATATTGAAATGATTTGTTGAAATAAATCATGAGAATAATTGATATGAATTAAATGAGAGAACCTTTTATGAGAAAGGTCAATTAAACCAATTTTGAATCTGTCAAAGTCAAACACCCAAAAATATGATGTCGGAAAAAGTATTACAAATAAATATAAAAATTATATAGTTGGATAGAGTTTAACAGTCCGATCGCAATGGTACAAACGGAATTTAATTCGGAGAAAGTTGGACCAAAAAGTATACCCCGACTGGAACCAAAATTGGTCCCAATCAGGGAGACTGTGCAGACGG